ATTTTTATTGAAACATGTTTTATGACTTAGTGTATTGTCTGTTGACATACGGTCTATATGCCCTTAAGTGTACAAATGCATTCTGTAAGTCTCCACCAATGATCCTTAATGTGTTCAAATTTCCGTGTCCTTACTGATTTTCTGACTATCATATTTCAGTGGTTTGATGTTCGGAGAAGTGTTGTCTCTGACACAGAGTATGTTATGTTGAGTTCCTTTGTCCCTGTGAGTCTACCTCCCCTCCCCTCCCCTCCCCTCCTCTCTCTTTCCTTTCTTCTGTTTTTTTTTTTTTTAATATTTATTTATTTATTATGTATACAATTCTTTCTGCATATATGCCTGCAGGCCAGAAGAGGGCACCAGACTTCATTACAGATGGCTGTGAGCCACCATGTGGTTGCTGGGAATTGAACTCAGGACCTTTGGAAGAGCAGGCAATGCTCTTAACCACTGAGCCATCTCTCCAGCCCCCTGTTTTTTGTTTTTTCAAGACAAGATTTTTCTGTGTACCAGCCCTGGCTGTCCTGGGTCCTGGTTTCTCTGTGTAACAGTTCTGGATGTCCTGGCCCTTTCTTTCTTTCTTTCTTTCTTTCTTTCTTTCTTTCTTTCTTTCTTTCTTTCTTTCGTGATTTTAAAAAAAATTTATTTTATGTATGTGGCTGTTTTGCCTGTGTACCACATGTCTTTTGTACCACATGTGTGCTTTGTGCCCAAGGATGCCATAAGATAGCTTCAGAACCTCTAGAACTGGAGTAACAGGCAACTGTGAGCCACCATGTGGGTGCTGGGAATTGAGCCTACGTCCTCCGAAGAGTATCCATTGCTCTTAACTGTCTCTCCTTTCTTAAGACTCGTATGCTAGTGAGGATATTTCTCTACTCATTTGAAATCTTTCAGCATAAAAAAATCTCACAATCTCAGAGCAGAGAAATTATCAGTTTTAAAAGGAATAATACTGATATTAGGTATTAAGATAAAGAGAATTTGCTGAACATCCAGAGTATTTTCTATCATGGAATTTTCAACTTTTGATTGGCTTGAATAAATAGTTGTGGGTTTGCTAGGCAAAAAGAATGGAATTGTCTTTGGAGTCCTCTTTTTTTTTTAATTTATTTTATACTTTTTGAAAAGAGAACAAAGTATCTTTTTTCATTTTCCATACCAATCTCAGTTCCCACTCCCTCTCCTCCCATTTCCCACTACCATCTACTCCTCAGAGTATAAGGCACATTGCTTTGGGGGAAGGTTCAGGCCCTCCCTACTCTATCTAGGCTGAGCAAGGTATCCATCCAAAGAGAATGGGTATCCAAAAAAGCCAGTACAAGCACTAGGGATAAACATTGGTGTTGCTGCCAGTGGCCCTGCAGTCTGCCCCAGCCATACAACTGTTTGAAAAAAATCAACAAGATAGACAAACCCTTATCCAAAGTAATCAAAAGGCAGAGAAAGAATATCCATTAACAAAATCAGATATAACAACAGGCACTGAGGAAATCCAGAGAATTATTAGGTCATACTACAAAAGCCTGTACTCCACAGAGTTGGAAAATATAAATGAAATGGACAATTTTCTGGATAGGCACTACACACCTAAATTAAATCAAGATGAGGTGAACAATGTAAACAGACCTATAACCTGCAAGAAAATAGAAAAGGCCAGGGGCCTGATGGTTCAGTGCAAAATTCTACCAGAACTTCAAAGAAGATCTAATACCTATACTCCTCAAAGTGTTCCACATAATGGACATTGCCAAACTCTTTTTATGAGGCTACAGTTACCCTGATAATGAAACCACACCAAGACTCAATCAAGAAAAACAATTACAGACCTATCTCACTCATAAACATAGATGCAAAAATACTCAATAAAATACTGGCAAACTGAATCCAAAAACACATCAAAAAAATCATCCACCATGATCAAATTGACTTCATCCCAGAGATGCAGGGATGTAAGAGTGAGGAAGCTGCTTGTTTGTCCTGGCTGCCCTGCTAGCTTAGCCCTGAAATAATCACACAGAACTGTATTAATTAAATCACTGCTTGGCCCATTAGCTCTAGCTTCTTATTGGCAACTCATATTAATTTAACCCATTTCTATTAATCTGTGTATTGCCACGTGGCAGTGACTTACCAGGTAAAATTCCCAGTGTTTGTCTCCAGCGGATCCATGGCGTCTGTCTGACTCCACCCTTTTTTCTCCCAGCATACAGCCTAGCTTTCCCTGCCTTGTTCTGTTCTTCCCTGCCATAGGCACAAAGCAGTTCTTTATTAACCAATGAAAGCAACACATAGACAGAAGGACCTCCTACATCACAGGGATGATTCAACATACGAAAATATATCAGTGTAATCTACCATATAAGTAAACTAAAAGGAAAAATACCATATGGTCATCTCATTAGATGCTAAAAAAGCATTCAACAAAATCCAACACCCCTTCATGATAAAGGTCTTGGAGAGATCAGGGATACAAGGAACATATCTAAACATAATAAAAGCAATATACAGCAAGCAGGCAGCCAACATCAAATTAAATGGAGAGAAACTCAGTGATTCCACTAAAGTCAGGAAAAGACAGGGCTGTCCACTCTTTCTATCTCTATTTGACATAGTTCTTGACGTTCTGTCTTTGGAGTCTAGTCAATAGTATAGTTAGAACTTCAGTAGTGTTTTAGGTGACATAGAGGGAGAGGAGAAAAAGGCACAGTAATAAAGTCAGTTATTACTTACAGTTCATTCTTGTTCCCTTTTATTTACAATTTAACTTAAATGTTTTTTTTATTTTAGAAGAAAAGAAAAACTTCTACAACTGATCCTAGTCAAAAGATTGAGAAGTAGTAGTAAGACAAGAAAAACCTAAATGTGTGATTTTTATCGTAGTTACTATAATGAAATTCAGATTGTCATCCAAACCCTCAAGTACTTGATCCTTTCTAGGACTTTGCTCATGCCAGGAGCTGAGCCTTTGTGTAGAATCGTTATCTTGTATTCCCTTTTCACATTTGAATGGGGCAGCAAAGTTAACTCCAGAGACATATGAAGCCTTGAACTGTTGTTAGTGCTCCTTGTATGCTGATAGTGTGAAAGACCTGGTCTGGCTAGCATGTAAGAGAAGGAAGTTAGGACACTCCCTGGTACCAGTTGTGTTGTTGTGGGCCTGCTGTGAGGGGAGATGTTCCTAATTTCAGCAGCATACTAGGTTCAGGAGATGCCCTGATAGTCAGGGTTTCCTTTTGTGGGGATGAAGTGAAAAGATGGTCAGCAGAAATAACACTGTTTTCTAAAGAAATCTAGGAGGTAGGATATAATAAAGACTATTGATATGAAATATTATGTTTTCTGTTTAGAAAAGTGTAGTTTTAGTGTTTTCTCTTTATTTAAAAAAATTACTTCTGCACTGTTCTTGCATTGTTGGTCTATTTTTTAGAAATGATATTTTAACTGGCAGTGTGTTCCCAAGAGTCCAGACTCAGGGCCTATAGAGAACAGGAGCCGTGGTGCAGGTGTGAGATTACAGCAGAGATGTCCTCTTCCAGTCTTGCTCAAAAATATGCACTCCAGCTATTCAAGTGAACTTGAATCTAAAACATATGCTAGTAGTTGAGATTTCTTTGTTTTTAAATCTGGAGATGTTAGCATTGGCAATAATGTGCAATTAAGTAGCATAGAACTTTAAATTAAACCACTCGTTATACAGTAGTGTTCCTGTGTACTAAGACAGGGTGATAAGTTTATATTCAAGTTTGTTGATGGCTATCCTCTTATCCTCCTAGACCGTTTCTTGTATTTCATAAAACAACATCATAGTATTGCTCTTTAGCCTAGTTCACTGTAAATGTAAGGTAAAGTTAGACATGGTTGTGCCTGCTTTTAATCCTAGCACTTGGAAGGCAGAGGCAGGTAGATCTATGAGTTTGAGGCCAGTCTGTGCTGGAGGAGAGGACCCCTTGTTTGTCCTGGCCGCCCAGCTAGGTTACACTCGAAATAACCACACAGAAACTGTATTAATTAAAACACTGCTTGACCCATTAGCAGAAGAACCTTCTACACCAAGTCTGGTCTAAAGAGTTCTTGGGGGAAAAAAAAAAAAAAAAGAGTTCTTGGCCATGCAGTGCTACATTGTGAAACTCTGCCTCAAGAAAATAAGGGAGGAGCCAGGCAGTGGTGGCACATGCCTTTAATCCCAGCACTCGGGAGGCAGAAGAGGCCAGCTTGGTCTACAAGAACTAGTTCCAGGACAGGAACCAAAAAAGCTACGGAGAAACCCTGTCTCGAAAAATCAAAAAGATCAAAAAAATTAAAAAAAAGGGAGGGAGGGACTACGGCAAAGTGTTATTACTCTTGTTATTTATATCAGGTTCCAATGATGCACCCTCTCCTCCCTTGACAGTCCCTTAACACAGAGCACCTACTGTCTCTCTTCATTTTAAAGTGTTTCCTGGCAGAGTTTGAGGGTGGAGGAAGGGTACTGAGAGAAATGGGTAGTTGGGAAGTACTTAAGATGTACAGTACACAGTTCTTTATACACAAACTATTGATGTACACAAAAGTATGTAGAGTTGAAAATCTTAATTCAGCAGCATTTCAAGTCAAGAGTTGATGTACATCTGTCTGCACTTCTTGACTACAAGAGTTCTGCAGTTTGTTATCTTTTTCATATCTCATTAAAATAACCAAACAAAAAGCCTAATAAGAATTTATAGGATATTTTTTCTACTTATAAAGGAGTAATTTTAGCTGTTTGGTGGTACACGCCTTTAATCCCAGCATTTGGGAAGCCGTGGGATTGAGTTCTATGAGTTCTACAGAGCAAGTTCCAGGATAGCCAATGCTACAGAGAAACCTTGCCCCATCCACCACCCACCCCTCGTAAAATAATCTTGAAGCATTATTATTCAAGCATTTTAATCTGATTGTTATTCACTGCTCAACAAAGGACGTGATGAGATAACATTGCTGATTTCTTGAGATGTCCAATTTCCTTTTTTCCTTTTCAGGTGGCTATCATCCAGTGAAAATTGGAGACCTCTTCAATGGTCGGTACCATGTCATTAGGAAGCTAGGATGGGGGCACTTTTCCACCGTCTGGCTGTGCTGGGACATGCAGTAAGTGTTCTTTGTTATTCTGTGCTCCTGAGTTTTAAGACAGTGTAGTCAAGGGCCATCCTGCCCTGTGGTAACAAGTTAAGTACAATTTAGCATTGGCCTCTGCCGCCAACTAGACTGGTCCCCTTCAACCTGATCTTACATTCCTTTGCTTGTATTTTGTTTGTTTGTTCGCCTTTCCAAGACAGGGTTTCTCTGTGTAACAGCCCTACTGTCCTGGACCTCTAGCTCTAGTGGGTCAGGCTGACCTCAAACTCAGATTCACCTGCCCCTGCCTCCTGACTGCTGGGATTAAAGGTGTGTGCCTTTTGTTTATATTTTAAAAAATACTAAGTGAGCTTTGTTTGTGAGCTTGTTACTTTTCAGAAAAAATCAATACAAATTGAAAATGTATAGACCTTTCAATTCAATATTTTGTGACCTTATTTAAAAGCCACATTCTATATTAGGAAATGTCACTGTTTCTTAGCATATATATATATATGTGTGTGTGTGTGTGTGTAGTTTGTGTTCATGCACATACATGAATTGAAACAATTGTAAAATACTTCCCCTTAGTGTTTGTGTTAGCTGTTTTCTTGTCTACTCTATGTTAATTAGAATTGAAACAACAAAGCATAAAAGATATTGTTTTAACCTATGATCCTCTATTTGTGTCGTCCAGATTTGAAAAATGCTATTTTGAATTAAAATTTATTACTGTATATGTGTGTGCATGATGTCTGTATGGAAGGCATTTGCCATTGCATGAAGACAGCTTTGTGGAGTCATTTCTTTCTTCCACATAGGTTGTTTACATAGGTTCTGGGGGATCAAATGCAGTTTGCCATGCTTGCCTGCAAATGCCTTTACCTGCTGAGCCTTCTGGATGGCCTCCAAAATACCATCTATTCCTTCCTTCCTTCCTTCCTTCCTTCCTTCCTTCCTTCCTTCCTTCCTTCCTTCCTCCCTCCCTCCCTCCCTCCCTCCCTCCCTCTCGCTCTCTGTGTATGTGTTTCAGGGAAAGCTTATTGAAAGCCTCAGTGTATTGGCTACTGACTTGGCTACATCTCACTATAACATTTGCTTCTTTTGCTAATTTGATAATGTAAATAACAATGCTTTTTTTTTCTTCTTCTTCTAAAGAGGGAAAAGATTTGTTGCAATGAAAGTTGTAAAAAGTGCCCAGCATTATACAGAGACAGCCTTGGATGAAATTAAATTGCTCAAATGTGTAAGTATATGAATGATGTAAAAAGGTGACTAGCTTTACTCTTGTGATCTCTGGATTATAACACATTTTTTCTTTGCTTTTACTTCTTAAAAATAGTCTTATTTCTGGTGCCTGTAAACTTTTTAACTCCTGCTGTGCCCCCTCTGTATAAAGTTTGTAGGGTCATTAAAATTACTAAGTATGCACCTCTCCTGCTCCGATTGGCTGAAAAGGTTTTTCTGGGTGATACTATATTAAAGAAGAATTTTTTTATAAGTTCAAATATAAATCTTTTATTTGGAAAAAAAAACCTTGTTGATTGGTATAGTAAAAAGCTCCATTTATTACCATCATCATCTAAAATTTATTTAAGTGTGCCTGTACTCATCAGATGTTAACTTCTTTGTAGTTACTGGCTGCTCAGTTGCCACACGTGGGTGCTGGGAATTATTGAAGTCAGGTCTTCTGGAAGAGCAGTACACATTCTTAAGTGCTGAGCCATCTCTCCAGCCCCGACCTCCATTTTAAACTTCTGTGGTGGTTGGACATGTGGTACACATTTGTAATCCCAGCACTCAGGTGTGCTGAGATTTAGGCTATCTTTGGCTGATAAACATTTCATTTGGGAAAACCAAGAATGAAAATAAGAAATTCAAACTCCCTTGTTTTTTTATTTGTCTACCTATGTAGGTTCGAGAAAGTGACCCCAGTGACCCCAACAAAGACATGGTGGTTCAGCTCATTGATGACTTCAAGATCTCAGGCATGAATGGGATACGTATCCTTTATTCTTGCTTTCTGAATTATCACACTTCTTTTGTTTTTACTTTTTAAAAATTGAGTTATTTCAGGTGCTTGTAAATTTTTAATTGCTGCTGTGCCCCTCTGTATAAGGTATTCAGGGTTATTGTAAAGTTTTTTTTTTAATATTTATTTATTATATATACAATATTCTGTCTGTGTGTATGCCTGCTGGCCAGAAGAGGGCACTAGACCCCATTACAGATGGTTGTGAACCACCATGTGGTTGCTGGGAATTGAACTCAGGACCTTTGGTAGAGCAGGCAATGCTCTTAACCTCTGAGCCATCTCTCCAGCCCCCTATTGTAAAGTTTTTAAGTATGCCTCTCCTGGTCTGGTTGGCTAAAGCTTTATTTTATTTTTTAGACTCTTTTGGATGTATTAACATCTTAGAAGCATAAAAATACTGACTTGATTTGGAATGGAGTTAACTATTGTTTTTTAAAGTTAGTATTTATTAATTATAGAAAATGAGAGATTTACGTATTTTTGTAGCTGTATCTACTGTATGTAACTAATAATGCGTGTAATGACTTCATTCTCCTACTGCTGTCCTCTTGTCTTCTTCCCACCATACTAATTTTCTTATTTGATCAATCTTTATTTTGGTTATCTACACATAATACTATTGACATTTTAAAATCATTGTAGTTGTTTCTTTGCAATGGTAGATGATACAATATTCTAGTACTTTTTCTTTATAACCACATGCATGACTCATGAATATTAGTGCATGTTATGGCTAAGGTCTTCTGTCTTTTCAGGTCTTTTGTTATTTTCTTTATATCTTCTTGGAGCAGATCCAACATTTATTGTCGTATTTGACTTTCTGAAACTTCAGAAACCTTATGTCAAGGCCTCTATCTCAGTTAAAGCCTAAGAATTACATCCAATGTCTGCACCTTCTCTATCATGATCTTTTGGAGGAAGAAAACTCCTAGTGTAACAGGTCTTTCTTTATATTTCTCCTAGAAATCTCAAACCCAGCATGGTGGTTCATGGCCATAATCCCTGCACTCTTCTTGAGGCAGAAGACTCAAGAGTGCAGGGTCAGTTTTACTACCTAGCTAGCTAGAGGCCAGCCTCAGTTACTTGAGACCCTGTCTCAGCAAAGAAACCAAAACAAATGCTGGGAAGTATAAAACCCTGCTGACATTATCTCAGCATTTGCCCCCAGATGACTCCTGGTAGCTGATACTCTCCCAAACAGTAGGCGAGCAGGTAGGCAGATGATCACCACCACAGTCTGAGTGCTCCCTAGTCCATGGGAGCCTTTCTGCTTAGGACAGGGCAGCTACTCACTGAGAGGAAGAAGAAAGAAGGAGAGATTCTTTTAGAGAAAATACATGATTTATAGAGTTTAAGGGAAACACACGCACGCACGCGCACACACACACACACACACACACACACACACACACACACACACACGGCTCCTCTTCCTAACAAGTAAAATGCTAATCTGGATATGTCAATACTTTGAGGAGATTTGGTACTTATTTTGGAAACCCTAGGGTTGGGCCCTGTATCTAACTTTAGATTTTTGTTCCTATTTTTTTATAATGAGACTGGGAAGTAAGACTTCATCTTTTCAGCCTGTGGTGTATAAGTTCTTTAACAGAACAGAAACATTTACAATTTTTTCACCAAACTATTTATATAAATAGCTATCCATGGTAAATCCAGATATTATAAAAATTAATAAGTCAATAATTTTGTGATACTAACTTCAGCAGTAAGCCTCTAGCTATGAACCAAACTTTTCATTCCAGAACTATTAAAAATTGTGACCATCTTCAATGTGTATGATCTATTTGCTGACTCATGTTCTAGAGCAGAGCTTCTTAGCCTTCCTCATGCTGGAACCCCCTTTAGTACAGTTCAGCCCCAACCATAGCTACCTCATAACTATAAATTTGCTACTTTTATGAGTTGTAATGTAAATACTTGATATACAACCTCAAAGGGATCGACCCATAAGTTTGAGAGAGAATCACTGGTTTAGAGGGTCAGGGATTGTGCCTAGCGCTACTGGGTTTGTTTTTTTTGCTGATTTTTTTTTTTTTAAGATGGGTTTTTCTGTGTATGGCTGACTGTAATAGAACTTACTCTGTAGACCAGGCTGGCCTCAAACTCACAGAGATCCCCCTGCCTCTGCCTCCTGAGTGCTGGCATTAAAGGCGTAAGCTACCACCACCCAGCACAGAGCTTCTGTTTTTGAAAAATCCACTGACTGGTGCTGTAAAGATAGATTCGCAGTTAAGAGAACTGGCTGCTCTTCTAAACGACCCATGTGTTTGATTTCCAGCACCCCATGATGCAGAACATAACTGTCTATAACTCTGAGTCCCTCTTCTGGCTTCTGTGGACACTAAGCACACATGTGCTGCAGAGACACACATGCAGGCAAAGCACCCGTAAAAATAAAAAGTAAAAAAAAAAAAAATACTGACCATTTAGTCTAATTGAATCAGTGAACTCCAGTGTCAATAAAAGACGACATCTTTGAAAAACAGTGTGGGTCTGGGCAGTGATTGCACACGAGAGGTGGAGGCACATGGATTTCTGTGAGTTTCAAGCCAGCCTGGTTAGTTTATTAAGTGTGTTCCAGACCAGCCACTCAAAAATAAATTATTTAATCCACTGCTCTCACAGAACTGTGCCAAGCATAGTCTGACTGGGCGTTTACAAAGGTGGCTGCATTTCATTACTGAAAAGGAAGCAAAAAAGAGCAGCACACGTTTCTAATAAGTGTGGGCTTTTGTTTCTAAAAAATCCACTGTTCTTTTGCATAAAACAATATTCCATTGTGCATATGCGCTGTACTTTCTTTATCAGTTCACACAGTGATGAATGTGTAGGTCATTTCTGTATCTTGACTCCTCGTGGTCATGCTACAGTGAACTTGGAGCTGTTGATACCTGTTTGAGACCTTGATTTCAGTTCATTCGGGTGCTTGTATGGCCTTGAACGATAGTGATGTTCTCATAATTATATCTTGACCTCCAAATGTACCAACTGTACATTGAAATATATTAATTAATTAATATATTTTCATTGAGACAGGTGTCTTATATTGCCTAGGCTGGTCTTGAACTCACTGTGTAGCTGAGGATAATCTTAAACTGACACTCCTGCCTTCATCTCCCAGGTACTGAGATTACATGTGTGTGTCATTTTTTATTTCCTGAAGGAGACTGCTATACACATTGAATAATGTATAGTATATGATTGCCTGTAGTGGAAAAAGTCAGATTTTGTGTATTTAAGTGAAAACAGCAACTGATCACCTGATAGTATTAATATGGTATTTTATTAGGAAAACAATGTTTTACAAGTGATACAATGAAGTCGCTTTTAGTGACCACCAGTCTTGAGAAAGTGCATCCTCAGATGCTCCTTAACCTTATCCCAGATGTCTGCATGGTTTTTGAAGTACTTGGCCACCATCTCCTCAAATGGATCATCAAATCCAACTATCAAGGCCTCCCAGTTCGTTGTGTGAAGAGTATCATTCGACAGGTGAGATTTGAGAAAGCAACCCTACCCCTGTACAGAACAATCCCACCCCTAGAGCCAGTTTGGTTGCTTTCAACGTGTATTTTAGTTTTTAATGAAGAAATTAATGAATCAACAACCGTTGAGCTGTTATCAAATCAATTATTTAATGACATGCATCTCATGTTAGAAAAGAAGGCAATATGTGATCATCTGCCATTCATCTCTTGACGTATAAGCCTTTGTAAAGATAAATGATGGGGGGATTTAATCAGAAATTATTGTATTCTCTATAGTTGGCACAAAACATTCACTTGGTTTCTGGGAATCTAATTAAGAAAAAGCAATTCATTGTATTGCTTTTTTTGATAGATGAATTAGTTGTTTGTGGTAAGTATAACATAGTGTACCTGTATATGAAAATATTAGGTATCACACAGTAAATATCAGTGTTTTTGATCTTGGCCATTCTTACAGGTGTAAAAAGAAATCTCAGAGTTGTTCTGATTTGCATTTCTCTGATGACTAAGGATGTTGAACATTTCCTTAAGTGTCTTTCAGCCATTTTAGATTCCTCTGTTGAGAGTTCTCTGTCTAGGTCTGTACTCCATTTTTTTATTGGATTATTTGTTCTTTTGATGAGCAATTTCTTGAGTTCTTTGTATATTTTGGAGATCAGACCTCTGATTGATGTGGGGTCAGTGAAGATCTTTATCAATTCTGTAGGCTGTTGTTGTGTCTTGTTGACCGTGTTCTTTGCTCTACAGAAGCTTTTCAGTTTCAGGAGGTCCCATTCATTAATTGTTTCTCTTCGTGCTGTGCTGCTGGGCTTCTATTTAGGACGTGGTCTCCTGTGCCGATGCATTCAAGTGTGCTTCCCACTTTCTCTTCTATAAGGTTCAGTGTGGCTTGCTTTATGTTGAGGAGAAAAATCTTTCTTTAAACGTTTGCTGTTAATGGGTTTTTGATCCTACTGCACCTATTGGTTTTGTGGGAGCCTAGGCAGTTTGGATGCTCACCTTACTAGACCTGGATGGAGGTGGGTGGTCCTTGGACTTCCCACAGAGCAGGGAACCCTGATTGCTCTTTGGGCTGACGAGGGAGGGGGACTTGATTGGG